CCCCCATTTGAAACAGGCTCCAGTTTAGCAATAATAGGGTGTCAACCCATGTTTCTTCCCACATTTCTTACAAGGCTCTGATGGGCTTTGAAATAATGCCGGCCTTTGCTTTTTGTTTGTCATTTTCGTTTGTTGTCGATTAGATGGTGTGGGTCTAATCCGACTTCTCTAGTTTTTTCTCTTTTGGTAATCTTCGCAGTCTTTTTCAACAATTTGGGCTCAATCCACTATTTAGGCATAAGTTCTTAATTTTAGGGCTCATATTCTGCCTCTGATGGTTGGTCAGAGGCGTCTTTCTAATTTTTTCAACATTCTTGCCTCATCGTTGATCATATGTGGGGCAAACCTGACCAATTTAGTAAACTTGGTCTCATACTATGCTACTGTTCTGTTCCCTTGGACTAATTTTAGAAATTCCACTTCTTTTTGATCGCGAATAAAATATGTGAAGTACTTTTCATTAAATGTTCCCAAGTCAAGGGTTTGTTTTCTAGGACCAGTACTCTTTTTGCCATTCGCCACCAATGTTCTGTTTCACCTTCCAACATAAAAATTGCCAAGGTGACTTTCTTATCATTAGGATATTCCATTACTTCAAATATTTTCTCCAATTGCATAATCCATCCCTCAGCTTCTAGTGGATCTGCAGCATCCTTAATGACAGGTGGATTTAATTTCTTAAGCTGTTCGATATTACACCCATTATTTCCCACAATTGACTGCCTTGGTGGATTATTCTTATCCATTTCATGCTTCATAAGAGTAACCATAGTCTCCAAGGCTTTGTGAATTCCCTCCACTCTAGTTTCAATCATGAGGGATCTTGACATCGTATTTATCTGTTCATACAATAAGTATGACTTAGAGTGTATTCCCTATTCAGATTTCCTAGGAATCCTAAACCTATTGCTTTGATATCAAAAATTATGACACCCCAACTAACATTCTTGAGGAGTGACAATCTATTCTTAAAATATAAATAGAACAAATTCGGAATTTTTGCTATACATTGCATCAAGACTAATTTTTATATTCAGAAATTTTCAAACTTGTACCAAGTCTACTCACAACTCAGATTAACATGAAGGTCTCTATATATACATCTTTGATAAAGTTACAAAGACAAATTTAACAATGACCACAAACTTCTTTCAAGCTCTTTCAAGCTAATCCTACTGTACATTCGAACAATAAAGTTGTAATTATTCTGAAATGAATTTACAATAATTTGATGAGTTTGGCTACTCAGTAAGTGACCATCATAATCATTAAAAATCATGGTTGGAAAAGGTAAATATTTTCTAAAAGAATGCACATTAAAACAATATGAAGAAAAGTATACATGGTGAACAATTTCAAATTCAGAAACACAAAATTTTAACATAATACAGAAGATTTGAATGCATATTGAAACGATATGAGGAAGTGCATGTATAAATCCTTTAATAGTAATAGCCATAATTCAAAAGATTTCACAAATTACCCTACTGACATCCCAAGTAGGTCACCTATATATGTCACCAGTGTCCTGGATGGGTCCACTTAATTCCTACCATCGTACCAGATAGGTCCATTAATACCTCACCGGCGTACCGGATGAGTCCACTTAATCCCTTTTGGCATACGAGATGGGTCCACTTTTACCACACTGGCGTACCAGATGAGTCCACTTAATCCCTTCCGACGTACTGGATGAGTCCACTTATTCCTTACCAGCGTACCAGATAGGTCCAGTTGTATACCTAAAATATCTCTGAAACTTCTTTATAATTAAATATCAGAAAACAACAATATCATATATTCAAAATATCCTTGAAACTAGTAACATGAATTCACATGAAGCGATTTATATCAATCACTTTCACTGACATTTTCATAAATAACCAGTCAAATATTTCTTGCTATAGTTTTAGAATGGTAGCAGTTCTGAGAGACATTCTTGAAATTTAACACTATAAGCAGTCTATTGGGATTAGAAGAATTCTTATGGAAATCCAGAGTTAAATACTGAATTTTCAATTATCTAAAATCCTTAACGATAAACGGAAATATCACAAATTTATTAAATACAGAAATACAAATTTTCAAATAATCATGTTACAGGAACACGTAAAGCTTATATTGTCTAAAATTCACAGACGGAAATATTGCAATTTAATTAAACGCAAAATACAAATTTCCAATTGATTGTTTAATAGGAAAATAAGGCCACTTACACATAACACTTTGAAGTATCTAAAATTCATACTGATAGATGGAAATATTACAATTAAATACAAAAATACCAGTTTTTATATAACTATTTTACAGGAAAATGAGATCACTTACTTTTATATGTTACGAGATTGGTATGTTGCTACTGTCGCCAGAGTAAGACTGCGATTAATGGCACTCATCTAAAGGTATGGGAAGAAAGACCAAATGAGTTTGTGTATGGGGAGAGGGAGCATAAAAATGTTCATATTATAGGAGAAAAATATATTATATTCTAATGAGAGAGAGAAGAACCTATTATTAGATCTTTATGAGAGGGAAAAATATTCTTTAATTATTTTTATGACAATATTATAAGAGGAAGAAAAATCATTTATTATGATCGAGTCATCATGAGATATCATTATGAGAATGATATTTTTATGAAAACATTATGAAAATAATATTATCTTTATGAGAGTCTTATGCGAGAGAGAAAATAATTGCTATGAGATAATAGTTCTAACATTATGAGAATAATATTGTTTTCATGAGGATATTATGAGAGAGAGAGAAAATAACTGTTATGAGATAATAATACTAACATTATGACAATAATATCGCCTTCATGAGGATATTATGAGAGAACAATTGTTATGAAATAATTATACTAACATTGTGAGCATAGTATTGTCTTCATGAGGATATTATGAGAGAAAATAATTCATGAGATCTTATGAGATAGAATATTACGAGAGAGGAATAATTCTTATCATAATGAAGTCATTATGAGAGAGAGTAATATTACATGAGATCTTATGAGAGAAAATATTATAAGAGAGAGAAAGAGGACTTACATATGGAAGAGAGAGATGGAAAAACTTGATGAGTATAATGATTAGCTCATGAGGGGAGGAGAATATTTAAAAGTGAGGAAGGACACTCCTCCACTTGACACATGTCAAATTATGTCTCCTTTTTTTATTAACTGCTCACTTTCATGTTCCACCTCATGACATATCACCTTATATTGTTACTTTATAATGTCAGTTCATTGACACATCACCTCATATTATTTCCTTATAATGCAACCTTATAACACATCACCTTATATTATGCCACCTCATATTTTATTGGGGAATGATTTCATGCAATAGTTGTATAGTAATATAATGCAACTATCTTCAAAATTCATGTTAGTGATATTTGTTTGACACAAATTTTTAAATGTATACTCTTTTCATTCTTAAGAACAATCACAAAAAGGAAAATTTTGAAAACACGCCCTAAAAGGTATTTTTCTAGCCTAATTAATATAAGCTATCCATTTTAGTGAGATGGTTAAATATAGGCCTCAGAAGATTTTTTTATTCCCAAAATTTTTATATAGCGTTATCATCATTAGATTACTAATGCTAAAAAAGGAAAAAGTGAGTTTGAATTTGTTAAGTAGTAGATCTTGAAATTCACAAAATGGAAGGTCAAGATTCATTGTTAGAGGGTACTAATTTTGACTATATCTAAGGTGCAAATTGACTTTTTTTCGTAGGATTGATTATGAGGAATGAAGATAATGTGTGCAAAATTTAGGGTCATACAAATGCCAAAAACATGGTTTTTTAGTGGTGTGGTTGCATTATACTACTATACAACCTTTGCATGAAATCATTCCCCTATCTTATTATCTTAATTAAGTATTCTTTTTAAAAAAATCTTCGAAATGAAAAGTTTTTGTAAAAAAATGGTCCCATGGCGTATCAATAACACAATAGACTGTCATTCAAAATTATTCCTTTATATAGGTATTTTGTATTATTTTTTATTTATATTATTTATATTATTATTATTATTATTATTATTATTATTAATATTATTAATATTATTATTAATATTATTAATATTATTAATATTATTATTATTATTATTATTATTATTAATTCTCAGTTTCAACAATTTATGGTCATCACAGTATGCCCCGTTTGTTTTCTTTCTAGGCTTGAAAACTCACCCATAAGGTAGTTCTCTTCAAAATGTTGCTGGAAATTGCCATTGACCTCACTCCCTTCATTCTCCCAAATTCATACATCTCTCTGTGCTTTCTCACTCTTGCCCAAGGCTTATATAGTAAATAAATAATATAATACTGGGAGGGTAGAGAAGTGGCAACTAAAGAGAGAGAGACAAATGGAGAATGTGTAATGCCAAATGCATGGGCACGTGTCCTCCATGGGGGCAAGGAGGTGAGGTCATCATGACAAAGCAATAAATAAAATACAAATAAGACAATAGAAAAAGGTGGAAGGAAGAAGTGGTGGTTCATGCATACCAAAAGAGCATGATGGACCATTAAACATTATGAAGGATTTTGAAAATCCAAAATTTTTAAATAAAATTTAACATCTAACATGCTATTTAATGTGTTGTAAGTTTTACTTATCATGTTTATGCTTGGTGGCAGTTATTATATAAATTTATTTGTGCTTTCATGCTTGCATGATATGTGCATTGAATGGGCTTACTGTCATGATCTTCCATGCAATTGGAGCACATGATTCTCTAGCTGTCATGGTTTTTCTTTTGCATTTTTTATTGCTTGTACAATTTCCTAACAGTTCGGGTTATACTTAGGGATTTTTTTGTTTTACATCTTGCATGCTTCCTCCCCCTCGTATTTTCATATCATATTGATGAGCTCTAAGCACATACAAATGAAAATGAACGTACAAAAGTAATATTAAGGAGGTTCTGGATCTTCTATATGAAAATGAACGTACGAAAGTATATGAATTTTGTTCTTCAATCCACAGATGACAAAGGTGATGGGGCTGATTCATCTGAAGAGGATCCAGATGGAAGTGGTGGAGAAACTGAGCTTCCAGAGATTGACCCACGAGCTGAGGATAGGGAACTGAAAAACCATCTACTAAAGAAGTACAGTGGGTACTTGGGCAATCTCAAGCTTGAACTTTCCAAGAAAAAAAAGAAAGGAAAACTGCCCAAGGATGCAAGACAAACGTTACTCAGCTGGTGGGATCTGCACTACAAATGGCCTTATCCCTCGGTACGAGAAACTTGTTCACTTCGTTAATCTTTGATATATGTCTAATAGTTGCCTTAACACATTTAGAATATCCATATAATTTTAAGTCGCCCATTTTACAAATAGGAAACTCGGTCAGAAATCACCCTTTCTGTTAATGATTCACACAAATTTACTGGCCAATGTAATTGGTTCTTAATGCACCTTGTCATTTACCTTATCATACATAATTTTGATCAAATTGTGACATTGATTTATATCTATAAAGATTCCCATGAGTCCAATCTCAGGTTACTCTGGTTGCTTAATGGGTTCCTACCTACTGTATCTTCTGAAAAAGCGAGCATTTGGGATGTTAACCTATATATTACAAGGTGATGATTTTCACTTCAAGATGCCTGTTTTGTCACCGTAGTATATGCTCTACTTTTCAAAATCTATGATGTCCATTCAAAATGCAGCCACAGTTCTCTCAGGATATGTACATCAGGAAAGTATTGAAAGCTATACTAGATAACATTTAACTCCTTGTTCTCCTTTATGAACCATTAGCTTGAGTAACTCCTACCAATTTCAAATGATATGACTGTTGTACTCTGGCTTTTATCTTACAGGAAACAGAAAAGGTGGCTCTGGCTGAATCAACTGGTTTGGACCAGAAGCAGATAAATAATTGGTTTATAAATCAAAGAAAGCGCCACTGGAAACCTTCAGAGGACATGCCATATGTTGTAATGGATGCCCATCATTCCCAAAATGCAGCTTTGTATATCGAAGGTCACCTTGTGGGTGATGGTTCTTATCGTTTGGGTCCATGACCGCAAAAATAAGATATCAAGATCATGGCGTGTTGTAATAATATGACATGGTTAGTATTGTCTGCATATAATATATCACCCCCTTGCCATGTACAATATTTATGAAAACTACGAAGCTACTGTTACTGCTGTCCTGACCAGTTTTGGTCTTCGTTTTCTTTTTCATTTTTTTCTTTTCTTTTTTGTTTTTATAATAGAGGAGTGGGTGTGGTTATTGTTTTACTTTAGCACAAACTATCCATTGTGTTTAATTTTGATGGGAAATTTCAGTTATAGCCATGACAATGTTTTGTATATAAAATGAAAAGGTACAAGCATTGATGCATGGTGGCGCTAACTTGAAGGAATATTAGATGAAGCCTTACTCCTGCTTCCATTAAAATGGATGAATTTGCTTTTTCAAGTGTATATCAAGTGGATTTGACTTCCTCTGTTGTCTGTTAAGAAACTCATTGCACTTGCTAGGTACCCAGTGAAAAACTCTGGTAGGTGAAACTTTCTAGTATTTAAATTTGCATAGAATGATGTTAATGCCAAATATATGGCAGATTTTCTGGCTTCTGTTGACCTCTGAATAGATTGGCTCACAAATTAATGGCCCATCCGGGTTGACCATTAATGGTTTTAGTATTTTTATCTTCCTCTGGTTGTACAGGGTGAGTCCTAGAACTCTCGTGTGCTCCTTTTGAAAATCAGATTGTGTGGGAAATGCGATTGAACCGTGGCTATTTCGAAATAGCTGGAGAGAAGAAACAAAAGGCATGTTTTCCCTTAATTCTGTAATAGTGGAAAAATGAGTGTTCCTAGTGCACCGACCCAAACTTGGCCTAGCATTCTCTTGCGGTGATCATTGCATGCATCAAGCAGAGCAAGGCCTCCTCTAGGTTCCCTTGAAATGGTTCCCCCATAGGATGGGCTACTTGCCCCTTCAAGACCTTTCTTGTCATAAGATATCTTCTTTCTAGAGTTAATGCCATGAGCAATAACTAAATAATGTTTAAATCAGTAGGCTTTCATTGAGGCTACTTTGGACGCCTGCAAATTTGCTAGCTCCAAATTTGGCCTATATTGAATGATTTGTGCGAACTCCCAATAACTTCATTAAACACACTAAAAACACTGTTGGAAGGCAGGAAAATATTTTTAAGAAAGTATTCACGTGAAACAACTCCCTCATATGATGAAGTATGGGAGTATTTTTATATTAATTGGCTGCCAATTAGTATGAAAAAATGTATTAGGACCAATTGGAGTGAAAAAGCCTACTCAAATGAGAGTTTTTTCACATGAAAATATTTTCACTCGTATCAAATGTGCCTTAAGATTTGAGGATTTGCATGTTCTTCTATAGATGTTAAGCACCACAAACAAACAAAAGGAGAAAATTACAGAGAAAATTACAAAAAACCCCCCGAACCACACTTTCTATGCAAGTTACTCCCAAATTTAAGTTTTTCTCTCACTTTTTTCCAAAAAACACACTTTCTATGCAAATACCTAAAAAGTTCTTTTTTTAAACAGAAATGCCATTCCCGTACACAAATCAATTTGGCCAACTTTGATGTTGACTTTCGGAACTCATTGCCGGAGCGAACCACCGCATTGTCGGAGCGAACCACCACAGTGCCGAAGCGCATGATTCACTACTGGAGCGAACATAGAAAGTGCCAGAGCGCTGAGTCGAGCATGATCCACTGCCGGAGTAAACATAGACAGTGCCAGAGCATTGTGACTCCAGAGTGCTCCACTACTAGAGCACACTTACACAACGTCGGAGCGTCATCCACTGTCAGACTGCACTTACTCAGTGTCGGAGCCTTGGGACTCCAGAGCGTTCCACTACTAAAGCGCACTTACATAGTGCCGGAGCACTGTGATTCCAGAGTTCTCTATTTGAACACATTTTTCAGCACCTTGGTCGCTGATGCAGAATAAAGAGGAAGCAGGTCAATAAAGCCTTAAAATACAGTGGAAATTTCGACAGTTTCAGAATAGCCCCAGAATTGGTCAAGATATTCATAAGTACTTCAAAATGCCACCTACCAAGTTTCATCATAATCAGACATATCTAAGTAGTGCACACAAAGAAACAATTTTGGTAAAATCAACCTTTAGCATCTTGAAATGGACCCTGTAATTAGAACTATATTTTTTGGTGGGTCAAACAGCTATGGGACCACCGTCATTAGATCTGACATGGTTTAAAACCCCTATGGGTCAAGTTTTGGCTTAATCGAGCACTCTAGGACAAAGTTATGGGTAAAATACCAAGAAGGGGTAGGCCGCATACTATTCCCGTGTGGCCACCCTACACCAAAACACCATCAAAGGTGGCTGTTTCCACAGTCATGGGCAGTGAATTTTGGGACCAGTATCTCACTCGTTCCAAGTCAGATCGCGCTCAAAATTTTTAAGCGTGTTTGTCTCATCAAGACGAGCGTTTCGATATTTGGTATGCCCTGTGATGATGCCTGAGCAGGGCGAAAAACCAAAGAGAAGTTGCTAACCCGTGAAGAAAATTGTAGAAAAATTAGTAGCAACATGCCTCACTTAAGTGGTCAAATCACGACGCTGGCGTACTTGATCAACGTGAAGCTAATTGCGTAAGGTCCGATGCTATTGTCACTACCCCGCCCCTTGATCCCTGCCGGAGGGCGACTGGGCGCGAGATCGCTATCAGAGGTTGTAAACGTCACTCCGTTGGGAGTGGGTCAAAGCATAAATCATGGAATCAAGAATAAACCACAGGAGTGGGTCAAAGCATAAAACTTCTAGCCTCATTCAGGAGGGAGGACAATGACCAGTGGATGCCCCACTTTGTAATTCCCTCATACACACACACACACATTCCCAAATGGTTTTGAGGATTCAATAGGCAGTGAACTTACAAGACACGACCCTCTCCTTAGGCACTGCGCATTGGATCACCAGAAGAGCATAAGGATAGGGTCGTGTCTTGTAAGTTATGTTGGCACTGCGCAGTCCCCAGATTTATATAGGTACTGTGCAGTCCCCAGATTTATATAGGAACTTACAAGATATTTTAGCTCATTAAAATATCTTCAAATGTTTGTGGTTTTGCAAAAAATGAACTTCGTTTGCTTAGTTAAAATTAGTGACCACAGTGGCATTAGTGAAAAATCCAGGAAAAAACAGTCAACAGTGATGTACCTTCTCATTTTGAAATATAACTTTATTTTTGTAAAGAATTTCAACAGTGGGCAAAATCGAAAATTTTACTAGACTCATACATCCTTCCAATGGTGGTGATTTTAGGCTAATCGAACCCCAGTTACCTATTCAAAAGCCTCTTCCAAGCACACACATAATTCTGAAATTTCACAGTGGCATACAACATGCCTCACGGATACATTCCATGACCTTCATTTCATGGTGAGGAACATGATAACAACCATTCTCTCACAATGCACAGACATAACATGTATTTCTTAACAATCTAAGAGTCATACATTCATTCTCAACATCCACCATTACCATAGAATGAAAGCCCCAATTTTCAGTGAAACGGCGTAAGGATTTTCTACATCACATCTACATCATATATACTTCCATTGCTCATTTCACATGCATAGATCCCCATGCATCCTTATTACTACAATCCAATGGTGATGGTTCTACTTACCTGATCAGCAATGGTGCCTTCTCATAAACTCTTCTTGCACAACTCACACCCACCCAACAATGGCTGCTCACCAATCTTTCCCAACCTTACCTGAGAGAGAGAGAGAGAGAGAGAGAGAGAGATGCGGAAGGATGAGTGGCGTGGGTGAGAGGGTAGCATAAGTACTCATGAGATGGGGCAGTAGCCAAGTGGCTCTAATGGTTGGGCAAGTGGCACTCAAAGCATGACAAGTGGTGAACACACTTCATGCACGCCAGAGTCATGCATTGCGCCTTGTCCCTTCTTCAACCTAGGATGCCTACATGGCATTGCCCATCCATCTGCTCACGCACGCATGCGGTGTTACCCCCCTTCTATCGCTGCGCACACCTTCCCTCCTTCGCGTCTATCGCTGTGTGCCTTCACTGTGCCAATTCGTTGCGTGCTCGCCTGCTTTGCCACGTGCTCCCATCACCGCGCCCCTATTGTCGCGTGCCTCTCCTGCACCTACCTGTCGTAAACACCATCGCCGCATGACTCACACTGCCGCATGACCCATTGCTGCGTGACTCGTCTCCCCTTCTATCGTTGCGTGGCTCACACTCTATTTATCCCGCCATGCACTCAACTAGCAGGGATAGTCGGGGTCCTTACAACTATCCCTAGTCTGAACCCTGTGTATGATGAACGGTTGGATTTTCACGCAAAGGCGACAAAGTTGCTGTAAATTTCGACCTTCAGATTTCAAGATTCCAGCCAAAAACTCAAGACGACGAAATCTTCATTCGTACATGAAATAGAGCTGTGTTTGTTGCCAGGCGATCGTGATGGCATGCTCAGTGCATTACAATGAAGAAATCACGAAAAAACGTCAAGGAACGAGTGCACTATTGATCCGAAGTTTTCAAGATTCATCCAAAATTCAAGTCTCATGATCATGGCTTAAAAACATGATTCATGGCTCGAAGTTAGTATCAAATCGATCGCTATGCTGAGCCCTACAAAAACAAAATTATCTTTCGATCAAACGGGTACTAGAGCAGCTTCGGATCAATCATGGAAGATCACGCCAGTTCTTGTGCAGCAGCAGGAACTGTTATGGAATTCCACATATTGTAAGGTAGGGGCAAAAAAATATCTTTGCACCTATTTTTAGAATTTCTTTTAATTCAATTAAATTGTAATTATCTTCAAATTTAGGTAGTTTTTTAGCATCCACCCATGTTTGGGCCCAATTCTATATAAACATGGAATGCCTAATTGTAAAAAAACCTTAGGTTCATTCTTCAATCATTCAATAAAGTTTTCAATTCTTGCTTAAGCTCATGGGTGCGTTCTGGAGAGAAAGAGAGGAGAGAGAAGAAAAGAGCCGATACCCCTCGATAAGGTAACTTTCTCTCTCCTCCTATTTTCTCTCTCATCTCTATCTCTCTCTCCTTCTCTTCTCTAAACCATCTCTATCTCTCTCTCTTACTCTTTCCTCTCTCATCTCTATCTCTCTCTTTCTCTCTTACTCTTTTCTCTCTCATCTCTATCTCTCTTTCTCTCTCTTCTTTTCTCTCTCATTTATCCCTTTCTCTTTTCTCTCTCATATTTATCTCTTTCTTTCTATTTCTCCTCTAGTCTATCATGTTTCTCTCTCTCTTTTCCTCTTTCTTTCTCCTTTCACGTATGGAGGACCTATCTTCTAGTGTGATACCTTCCTGCTCATGAGACATAAACAGTAAGCCGGGCCT